ACAATATCTAGTCTTATTTTTTCAATTATAAATTGTTTTATCTCCATAGGTAATTTTTCAAGTATTTTTAAAGTAATTGTTACACTTTCATTATTTAATATTGGTTTTATAATTATTATGTTAAACTCTTCTCTTGTTATATGGTATTTATCACCTAAATTTTCGATTTTCATGATTTTATAGATCTTATGAATTTTATTATAGTTAATTTGGTTCTTTATGGCTCTGATACCAATTAAAGGGGGGCTACTATAAGCGAACAAAAATCTTAAAATCTAATAATCTTTAATATCAGTTTATAATGTCTTGAGTAAATCTTCAAAATCTATTAATATTTGAGAATTTATAATATCAAGATCTGTTATTATATCAATATTTGGATTAAAAGGAATATCATATTTTAAAATATTTTTTCTTCTATTTTCTAATTTATCTATTATATCATGTATATCTTTTGTTATTATAGATCTTACAGTACGTTTAGCAAAATTTTCTATCATATTTTCTTTAAAACATTTTAATATTTTTTGTGATACAATTAATTGGTCTTGATATCCGATTTTATCAAATTTATTTTTAAATTCAATTTATTTTTTATCTTTAGCAAGTTTCTTAATCTTATATGGTCCTCTTTTAGATCTTGGTTTCTTGTAGGTCATTTTATGGCAATCTAATTCCTTAGGACTTGATTGTACTTTTTTCATAATTTAATAGATATTATATTTAGGGATATTTTAGGTAGTTACAATTTTTTTGAAAAAGTCAAAGGTTATTTTGGAAATATGGATTTTTATTTGGGTTATTTTTGTATATATCCCATTTGTGCATGATCTGACCACCTATGAGTTCGAGTAGAGATGACAATTTTTCCCGCCCCGTCCTCGCGGGGCCCCGTGAAGAATTAAAAAAAAAAAATTATTTTGAACATTTTTTGTTTCGAGTACTTGCTTTGAATATTGATATGGTTAGTTTGAACATTATTTGATTTGGATTTTAAAATTTTGAATTTGTATTTTAACTGAAAATTGAAAAAAAAAAAAGACAAACGGGGCAGGCCAATGCCCCGAACCCGCCCGTTGCCATCACTAGTTCGAGATCATAATGGCCTTGAGCTCACTCCTGGGGCTAGAACGACCTGGGATTTAAGGTTCTTGGACATCTCGTGCCCTCATACCCTTTCCTTTCTCTTTATTTCAAGTTACCAAACCTAAAAGGACTCAATCTCTTCAATTTTATCGTCACCCAAATATGACTGGTCTTATAATTAGAGTATGTTTGATTGACTTTATTTTTCATAAAATCTCATTTTTTTCACACAAATTTCCTACTTTTGGAGTATTTGATTGACAATTTTTTCTATAAAAAATAT